TCCTTAAACATTATCCTCTCGTATATAACACTTATATACAATGTTTAAGGTTACATAAATAATCATGGAATTTTTATTGATATTCATAAAATATTCATAAATATATGCACATAAAATAATGAATAAACTCTTTTATTAAATAAATAATAAATATCCTATTACATCTCATGCTTCTAGGACACTATTCCCAACAGTTAATGCTCAAAACTTACCGCCACATATGAATCTCATACTTCTTTTTCAGCTGTGACAGTGTTAGCCTCAGAATCCCAACCAAACCCCGTTGTTTCAATTAATGCCTTAAACTCCCTCGTGCTACGTCTAAGCCTATTCGCTTTGCTTTAAGCTGGTCTGATGTGAAATGCTTACCAAACTTAAGTGCTATTTCATTAGCAATTTTCATCCACGTTTTTTTGTCCAGAGTGGATGTTTGCATCCCAGTCTTTGACTCTTCATATATCAGTTCTACATAAAAATCCTCAATTGCGGCCGGCCATTTCGTATTATTGTCCTTATCACACATATAAAATAACACTTTCATCATTAAAATAAATGTCAATTTATAAAGTATAAACACACACACACACACACACACACACACACACACACACACACACACACGCAGGGGCTGATACAGCCCCAATGGGGGCCTCCCATTGGGGCTGAATCATCCTCTGGGAGGCTCCCGTTGGGGCTGATGGAGGGCTGATTATCAGCCCCTATTAGGGCTGATGAGGGCTGATTATTAGCCCTCATCAGGGCTGATTATCAGCCCCCATTAGGGCTGATGGGGGCTGATGGGGGGCTGATTATCAGCCCCCGTTGGGGCCGATGGGGGTTGATTATCAGCCCTGATGGGGGCTGATAATCAGCCCCAATAGGGGCTGATGGGGGCTGATTATTAGCTTCATCAAGGCTGATTATCAGCCCCCATTGGGGCTAATGGGGGGCTGATTATCAGCCCCCATCAGGGTTGATTATCAGCCTCCATTGGGGCTGATGTGGGCTGATTATCAGCCCCCATTGGGGCTGATTATCAGTCCCCATTGGGGTTGATGAGGGGCTGATTATCAGCCCCCATCATGGCTGATTATCAGCCCCCATTGGGGCCTCCTAGGTCAGCCCCAATGGGAGGCCCCCAAGGGCTGATTCAGCCCCAACGGGGGCCTCTCAGGGGCTGATTCAGCCCCTATTGGGGCTGATTATCAGCCCCCATCAGGGGCTGATTCAGCCCCCATCAGGGGCTGATTCAGCCCCCAATGGGAGGCTCCCTGGGGAAAAAAAAGGGAAAAAAATTCAGCAACTCAGATAATAAAAAAATTAGACAAAATACTAACCAAATCAAACGGAAATCAACCGATTTAGTTGAGTATATCAAGTCAAAATCATATAAAAAAACCCATAAAAAAAACAACCAAATCAGCTAAAAAAACTCCAAAATAAGCTAAAAAAACTCAATCAACTCAGGCAGGAAGGAAACCAAATCAGAAAACGAATAACTCGTTGAGAAGAGGCATACCTCGGTGAGAAGAGGGCGAGATGAGAATGGGAAGAACGGAGGAAACCGAAGGAGCCCCAACGGTGCAAGTCAGGCGAGAAGGAAACCGGAGAAAACGAATCCGGCGAGAAGAACGGAGGAGCTCGGCCGGAAAGAAGGCTGAAGAATCTGGGCTGAAGAATGGCTGAAGTAGAAAAAAAAAACTTAGACGGGGGAGGCTGAAGAGAAAACGGGAGAGAAAAGGAAAAGAAAATGAAAATGGAGAAAATGAAAACAACTTTTTTTTGTTTTCTGATTTCCACAAAACGACAAAATCGTTTTTGTTTTTGTTTTTTAAAAAAATTTACACCAAACGCGTTTTTAACATCCGTTTTCAATTTTTTGCTTCGAAAAATGTGAAAAATGGAAATGGCAAAGCGTTTTCTGTTTTTGTTCCCACATTTCTTCTCTCGCTGGTTTAGAACGTGCAATGAACTAATTGGGTACTTCGATGATGAAGACAGCTGTGGCTAGTTATCATTAAGATATTAAACAATATTAGACTTATAGCTAAGAAATTCGGTATATTTCGTAATCTATAAATGGCGGTCTTGTTCCCAAAGAAAAGAAGAAGAAGGGGAAAAAAAAAAAAAAAAAGAGCTTGAAAACTCCTTTGTTCAAGTCGAATTCCAAAAAACACATCTAAAATTATTATTTGATACAAAATTTCATTATGGGGTATCGATCAACGTTCCTCTCCTTCTTGCTAATCATTTGCACAAGCTCTATGGTCCATTGCAGCTTGTTGGGTGACAACATTCTTGATCGAAACATCATCCCAGATATTACTGGAATAAGCCGAGTAAGAGTCACTGGCGTTCTAAGTTGCCCCTTCCCTCCAGTCGTTCGAAACGAACTGTCGTTACCCGCAGGATTAAACGTCGCATTGACGTGTGGTGAAAAACGAACTGTCATTAGCGACGCTGTGACCGACACATCCGGGTTTTTCGAGATTACTTTAAACACTGTACAAACTTCTCTCTTGCATCCAGATCAGTGTGATAACTGTAGGATAGCTGTTAGAGGAACTTCTGCATCTGCCTGCATTGTTTACCCCGGACGTCGTGGAGCCCTTCTAGCACCTATTAACTGTCACGACACTATTGTAGAAACACTGCATGGTGATGAGCAAGGACGCGGTACTGCTGTACATTACAAGGCGGAACCCTTTTATTTCGACCCTTCATATTATTAATATGTGCACTCACGTACGTCGTGGTGTTAATTTGTTGCATGCATATGAGTCTGCTTTCTTTCGTTTCTTTTATTTATTTCCCAAAATGTTGCCAACGTATGTGGTTTGTTGTTCTTAAATTGCTATTGTATTTCCTGGTTGTGTTCAAGATGGCGTTTTGAGTTGTAAAAAAACTCTTTTTTTTTTTTTCCTTAAAAAAATTGCTATTGTATGTTTGTGTAGATATATAATTGCATATTATTTTATTGTTTTATCTAAAAATGAAAGTATTCTTCAGTTATTAGATCACCGTGGCCTTCTAAAACAAAACCATCCAAACTGTAAATATTTATATTCCTCGAGAAAGTATTGGTATAAGCCTATGTTTCATATGTAATGACATAGGTAATAAAATTCTACCTCATCTCACTTCACAATACAGAAATGTGTAACCGTTTATAAATAGAGAAACTCTCCCTCATCTCACTATGCTTCTCGTGTGCTTGTTACACTCCTTAAAAGGAGAAGGGGTAAGTTGTAGAAAAGTATATGAAAGTTTACTATTATTGCTTTCAATCTTTCTTTCCCCTTTTTCTATGGAAACAGTTCTGTTTTCCTTTAGTTTTTGTTTTAACTTTTGAAATTCTTTTATTTTTTTAAAGGCATCTCAGTTTTTTTTTTTTTCCGTCAAAATAGAAAGTTGATCGAGAAAAGTTATAGGTTAATCATAAATATGCAATCTGAAGGTATAAATGTGCAACAGTTCAAAATACATGACATAGTTTTTTTGTAAACTTCAAAATATAAAAATGAAAAATTTTGTTGAAACCCCCGTTACAATCATCAAGTTGCCTTAAAATTCAGCTTAAGCGGAAATGTTTGAATTAAGGATGAGATCTGACGACAAATTTTGTTGATCAGACCATGGTCAGATTTCTTAATACTAGAAATTAGCCATTGGTAGTCTGCCAATGTAGAGTCAGATAAAGGCTCCAAAAACTCGCATTTGGCTAAAATATCAGGTGGAGGTACCCCAGCAATAAGGTTGGTGTCCAGTTTTGGTTTTCCTTTTAGCTCATTTGGCTCTTCAACAGGAGCACTTTCAAGGGCAGCAGGAGATGCACCAGGGATTACCTCTTGCTTAAATGGAACTGATCTTGCAGCTTGCAAGCAGAATTCCACCCACTGATGGATGAGCGGAGATGGTCCTCGAACGCGTCCCCCGATTCGGTTTGTTTTGAGGCGTGAAGCAGCAGGGATTGCCTAGGAAAAGAACATATATGTTCACAATAAACGAAGATGTGATAAAATTCATGACAAAAATGTTCAGTTTTTTTTTTTGAATGATTTAAAGTTGTTTTTTTTGCTGGGGATGGAGATTTCAAACGCGGTATAGTTCCATTCTAGCAGCAATACCACTGATCCGTCTCTATCAACGATTATAAAGATAGAGCTTTATATGGTAGGGTTACCCCTACTGGTTGTTCAAATTTTTGAACATTGGATCGGGTGAAAATTCCATCAAAATGATAAATTATGCAAAAGTGACAGAACTTCATACAGCTTTGACGGTTCAAAACAGAACCCAACCAGTAGATACGAAAACTTTGCAATTCTCATATAAAGATTTAGGGGGGGAAAATGAACTGTCAGCTGACGAGAATGATGTGTAGGACATACCCATAGATCTGCCCATAGGCTAGCTCCGGACTTTGGAACAACTACCGCAACATTAGACGTTCGCTTGGCAATAGGAAGCACATCACTGCTCCACCCAACAGCCACCCAAACATCTCCAACTCCAAATGCTTTTAGATAGTGCGTGTTGTCAAATAATCGGACCTGAAATAAATTTTATGTCCATAGAGATGAAATACTACAAATGGAATAGAAAATCCTCGGATCATTTTGCAAAGACCATTCTTCTTTTTCTAACTAATCACGATTATGCAAGGAATTGTTGTTAATGAGCTTTTGACAAAATAACGACCAAATAAATCTAAAACTCATAACAAGTGAAAAATGAATATCTAAATTTCAAGCATAAACTGAATAAGAATATGAAGGCTACTTTCCAGGCTTTCAGTGGGAAAGACAAAACTCAACTGGATACAAGAACTCAAACTCTCAAAACCCTTTTTAAGCCCAAAACTATAGGTTTCTCTCCTCTCTAAATGATTAAATCCTTTGTAAGATGTTGACCAACTTTCAACTGATAGTTTCTAATTATAATAAGGAAAATACAAGAAAATATTTAAGAACTCAACAAATAACAATTTTACGTCAACTTTTTCAAACTGAAATCTGTTCCCTTTCTGTTCTTATCTCTAACTCAAGGAGTGTATGGTGATGTTAAAATTAGGAAAAAAAAGGGTGATTTCTCATCAAATTAGGAGAGAGCATAAAAAGAATGGGAGAAAATAGTTGAACACAAATTGTGCACACCCCATAGTGGAGTCGCTATGTGGCAAACGAATTATTAAGTGATGCATTAAACAACTGCATTTAGGCCCATAAAGGCACATATCAAGTGCATAAGCAAGTATTTAAATATAATCTCAACCTGATTCGCAAGTAAGTTGAGGTTTCTCTGGACAGCGTCTCTCCCACCATCCACTTGTGAATCGATGTCGCTTATGTTATATGATGCTCCCATATATTTCAAAACTGCACCAACAACCTCTCTAGGAGAACCAACCATCGAAATTTTCCCTGCAAGTTCAGGTCGCCATAGATCTTTCCAATCCTGCAGTAGCATTTTAACATCTTAGAAGATCATGTAGAAGACGTGCTCTTAAAATGTAGAAGTCTTGTAGACCCCTGGGGCTGGAGAAACTTTAAGTTCGAGTCATAAGGTGTTAGTAGTGAAGAACTCTTATTTTTTATCAGCAAGGAAAAGAAAACACAAGAATGATACCATTTTTCCCTTCTTGTTTATTTATAAATTGCTAATAATAATATATAACAATAAAGATAATAATGAGCTCTAGTGAATGGCCACGTTCACTATAGCTCAAGAGACTTAATATTTTAGGATCATCATTATTATTATTAGTAATCACTAATCACTAATTTTTAAAAGATTAATTATAAGATAAAACAATACTTTTACTGTTATTATTATTCTTATTATTGTTGTTGTTGTTGTTGTAACACTTGTCAAGATTTTGAATCTTATATGCAGAGTAGGGGAACTATCTATGGTAAAAAGATAACTTTTGACATTGCTTTCATGATAACACCACACAGATACCTTTGTTTCTTCTAAAGCTTTAAACCACAACTCTAAATACTAAGGTGGTTGAGAGAAACGGGATAGGGAGAGGAAAACACAAGAGTTTTTTTTTTTTTTTTTTTTTTTTTTTTTTTAAAGAAAGATGAAAAAAAAGTCACATATACAACATGCATAAATCTCATGCATAAGCCATTCCTTACGTTCATGCATCCAGCATATCAAACCTCATTGAATTGTCACTACATGAAGATTTTGACATACTGAGCTACGACCCCAAAACGAATCATAATTATATTTCTTGCATTATATTTTAAATACTTATATTAACCTCCCTGTCTTCTTGTTATTAAGATCCTTGTGAAGGTATTATTTGATAATAGGAGTCGTTTCATGCAACCGACCACATCGCAACCGCTAAGGTAATCTTTTCTTTTTTTTTTCTAGCACTCTAAATTTTCACTATTTACATTTCAGTCAATTTAATATCTTGCAACTAACTTTACTGTATTTACATTTCAGTCATTTAATTTCTTGCAACTAACTATACAATACTTACATTTCAATCATTTAATTTCTCACAACTAACTTTACAGTAATTATATTTCCGTCAATTTAATTTCTTGCAACTAACTTTACAATATTTACATTTCAGTCATTTAATGTCCTTACAGTTATCAGTTCTGTACCAGTTAAGCTATTTTCTTTTCTGTATTTTTCTAATAATCAATTTTGCAATTTAATAAGTTATTTTAGCAGCTAGCTTAGCTTATTTATATTTTCTTAACCTACACTACTCTAAATTAGTTACATTTTTCCACTCATAAACTAGAAATACCAATCTTGAACCCAAACAAAGTATATTTTCATTAAAAAGAAAAGGGACCATGTCTTCTTCAAATTTTCCAACTGAAATTGGCCTTGTAGGTATTGAAATTGGCCTTATAGGTATTGTTAAAGCTCATTTTTAGATTATGTCTGTTACTAAAATAGAAATTAAGAAATTGAAAGTTGAAACCAGAATAAAAATCCAAATCCTTTCCTCTAAATCTACAAATTTAAACACAACATATAATTAGTTCAACTGATCATGAAAGCCGCTTCCATTTCTTTTCTTAGTTTTATATTTGTAGTTTGTTTTTAAGTTTTACGTTTTCAACTTGCATCCTGTGGAATCATTAGTAATATATACCCATTAAAGAAGCGAAAAATAAATTCATATTTGTTGTTATTGAAGAGTATAACATCAGCGAATGATTTTTGAGACAAGTTACCTGTATAGGAGCCAGGTTATGCTTTTGAAATTTACTTTTCTTGTATGCTATCACCATGCAACCCCACCGATAGGGAGCAGCCCATATTTTGCCATCAGGGTCTATATCCCCCTCCCTGTTCCTGCGTAGATACACCTGAGGTTCTTTTAGTAAAAGTTTAAAAATAGGAAATTCTTGAATGAAAGGATACTGATGACAACATTTCATAGTCCAGTCTATAAGCCAAAGCCTTTTTTTTTCCAATAAGAAACTATAAGCCAAAGCTTGCAAGACTCATCAGTCCCTGCTTGCATAAGTGTCTCATTGTTCACCTTCATTCAAACTCATCTAACTAGTGAGAGAGTTTTTTATAGCCTCCCGTAAATGGAAACATGAACAAAGCTTTATAATTTCTAAAAGTAACGACAAGCGTGCTTTTGAACATTAATAGAAGATGTCACCTACAAGAGGGCCATATTGCTTCAGTTAAAATAATGTTACTGTTTTTCTTCGTTTTCTTTTCTCTCTCTTTAGTAAGTGATAAGAGATGAAAAATAATATGCATCAGCCATCAGGCTTTTTTTCTTTTTTTTTTTTCTTTTTTTGAAAAGAATCAAAGAGAATTTTACTTAAAGAAAAAATTCTAGTAATAAGATTGTATGCATCAGCCATCAACCATCAGGCATTAAGATTGTTCCTAGCAATAACAGAACACTACCAAGCATCATTTTAAAGGACGTAAATGCATAATGATGGTAACAACCTTGCATATGCATATGAACTCTTCCAGGTTAACAAAGAAACCTCCAGAAGAAAATATGTAAGCGCTAACAAATACTTGACAAAAAAAGAAAAAACCTGAACTACAAAAGAAGTACTGTAATGTCCATAATTATATATACCATAAAAGGCTACAATTGAGTTCAATTTTATGAATCACATTCCACTTTTAAAAAAAATTACTAAACTAAAAATAAACATCCAAGTAGTCCCAAGAGTATTGGGCTTGTTGTTTCAACACATTCCATATAAAGGAAATAAATATAAAATAAGCATGGATACCATCATTCAGGAATCAGCAAATTACTCAATTGAACACGCTACACAGGAACAGGAAAACATAAGAAAATCATTTTTTTCTTACTTTCCAACTGGAACTCAAGGCTTTAAACCAGTCTTGATTCTCCGCCCCTTCTATTGACTGAATCATAGCCTTCTTAATAGCATAACTGAGCCAGGAGTCACCAACACTAATCATATCAGCTGCCACAACAGATGAAGGCCCAACATTGCCTTTGTTGAAGGGCACTGAGAGATCGGAAAAGATGCCCTTGAGACTTCCTTGAGACTTCAATTGAAACTTTAATCTCCTTCCTTGAGATCGCATAAAGTCCTTAATGACAAGAAGAATTTTAAATGATAAGATATATGCATTTTTACATAAACAGGAAGCTCACCAATAGAAGAATAACAACAACAACAACAACAAAATCAACTTCAGTCATGCAAGGGACTAATTGCAACCGAAATTTCTTTACTTGAAAAGAAAGGAACAAGCTTCAAAAAGAAATCCTAGTTAGATTAAAATAAGAGGTATTTAATAAAAATGTTTAAAACACTATATATATATATATATATATATATGAAATATGGGAAATTTTATGATCGAAACGGCTATTTTACTCTATTGGTAGGAATTGTTGTTTTAACCGCTAGATTTTCAACAGTCTAATTAGAACAATTTTGTGTCGCACGTTGAAATTTCAACGTGAACACTCACAAATTCGACCATTGAAAACAATAGTTCGTACCATAATAGTTCGCATGATATATACATAAAGATCTCTAGTCTCTACCTTAACCCATGAAGGAGGTACAGAGCCACGTAGAGCAACAACTCTCAAAGGCACAGTCAGAGCATATGTTTTGGATTTCCAAGCCTTGAATTCTTCTTCCAACTTTTTATCTTCTAAATTTTCAGCAATGTCAAGTTTTGTTTCGTCTTGATCATCTGTTCCGTAAAATGCACAGTTACAGTGATATCATCAACGAAGCATCATGAGAAAACCTTTTCTGGGATAAATCCGTTAACACTTGGCACAAAATGACTGTTTTGCTTGTGTTTGTTTTAAACACCAAATTCATTCCCAATTATTTGTAATAACCAACCTAAGAACATACGAAAAAAAAAAAAATTCGATTTTCAGCAACAATGATAAAGAAGATAAATTTTGCAATCATCTCCTTCTACCGTTTCTACTAATTCTGAACTCTACTTTTCTCTAAACTTGAAAAAAGCGTCAAATATGTTCCATTTAATAAAACCAAAAAGAAAGAGAAATTAGAATGAGCACCTCCAGATATATGCTCCTCTTGAATAGGAGGCGGAAATTGGGCGGAGCAGGCGCGAGCTCCGAGGGCAAAGCCGAGGCCGAGAAAGAGGACGGCGGAAGCGGCGAACCGAACCAGATTGGACGCGGAAGGATCGGAGTTCGTCTGAGATGGCAGTTCAAGATGGCAGCGATCGGAGATCCTGAGGTTGTTGTCGCTGCAGATGCTGCTACAGCGAAGAGGTGGTAAACGAGTGTGAGAAGACGAAGAAGGAGAAGCGAAGAGAGAAATGGTGGGGATACGTAAGAGGCTTCGGAAACGAGATGGAGGGAGTTCCAGCTGCTGCGAGACTGACGACGCCGGGAAGGCAGCCATGGGAGACGGCCAAAAGGAGCCTAAACGGATTGGAGTACCTCTACCTTCCACACTGTGTAGGCCTTGCAACAATGGGCCGGGACCCGTGGGTCGGTCCAAATCCATCTTGACACAGTGACAGGTCAGAAAAATTCTTAGGATTCTAAAGCATCGTTCGCTTCACAAATTTGAATTTTCAATTTGAGCTGATATGTGACATTTTCTGAGAGTTTTTAATTGTAACAGAAAAAGTTATAATGATATTTTCTGAGAGCTTTTAACGGTAGAAATCTAAAACTAGAAACTCAAATCGGTAAAATAAACGATGCCTAAATTTATAAGATCCCAAATTTAAAATCATAAAGTATTTTAACTCGTTGTGAACCTTAAATCATTCTTACTGCCAATTAGATCTTCTATTATGAAGTTTACATCCCACAAGAACTATATGAGCGATAATTCAATAAGTAAATTGTTAATTAATTTCCACTTTCAAATTACATTTCTTTAATTTTAGAGCCCTTTTATATAATATTAATCTTAAAAAACACATGACCGTATACATATCTTTTTTCTATCTGTTTTTTATAGAAATTACAATAGAGAGTTAAGGATGAACAATTTAAAGTTTAAGGGATAAGGTGAGATTTTTAAGATTCTAGAGGTAAATTGAGAATAACCCTGGGCTTGTTCATTTGTATTTTTTGAGTTAAAGTTACTTGAATTCATATCTTGATTTGAGTTAAGGTGTATTTAATATAAACTCAAATCGGTGAAATGAACGGAGCGTTCAGGACTCTAATTTGAGTTCATGTTTGGATGTGCACATTTTGAGTTATGGTTTGAATTGAGAATTTATTTGAGTTTGTGTTTGGGTGGGTCAAAACTTGAATTTGTATTTAAATAGTATTTTAATAAAAACTCAATAGTGATGAAAAATTTTAATAGGGTATATGGATGAGGTTTTATTCGTCTCTTCATTGTGAACGCATAGAAAAAAATCATCTCAATCGGAATTAAAACGAAAAAGTTATAGCGTTAAGAATAGAAAAAAATATTGTTAATTAACTTGAGTTTAAGTTTTAGAAACTTGAGTTAAAGGGGGAACTTGAACTCAGATTTTAGCCTTAAACTCAAGTTAAAATTCATGTTCAAACTCAAATTTTACAAAAGAACATGAACTTAAATAAAGTTATAATTTGAGTTCAATTTTTTTAAGTTTTGAGTGCAAATGAACAAGCTAAAATTCACGGGCCACCAGCAATAATAATCAAACTTAGGGTTGTTCGTCGGTTAAAAACTATCCATTTTAGTCGGTTCGGTGGCCAAACTGACTATGTCAGTTTTTTAAAACCATGCACCGAAACCGAACTGCATAATGGAGTAGTCGGTCGGTTAACCGAACTTCAGTTTTCGGTCAGTTTTCAATTTTGGTAATTAGAAAAGTAGCCATCAGTAAATCATCGGGTTACTAACATCTTTAGTTGCATTTTTTGACCAGAAAATCTGAAAACAAATTTGTATGTAAACTTTTTCTTTTATGCAAATCTTTACTAGTAAATGAAAACAAGAAAAGAAAAAAAAAATCGAAAAGACTTCATTAACTACTTTAAGGCTGTTTCTGGTAAGAAGAAAAGATCCTAGAAAGGATATAAAGGTATATATAACCTAGGTGGGAAAAAAAAGAGGACTTTTTCTCTTATTGTAATTGACATAGATCCCCTCCTGCAACCATTCCAACTTTGGAATGATTAAAACTGGAGTTCTGCAAGGATTTTGAATCCCCCACCAATCAATTCCCCAATTTAATCCCTCCACCACATTGCCATAAACCTTAAAATCCTTCTACTAATTATTTCATCCATAACGGCATAACCTTCCTCCTTCCAAACAAGGCTCAAGTGTTGCAGATAGCCAGATATCATGTTATCTAGAATATGAAGGCACACCCTAAATTAGCCAATCATTTAGACTACACATATTTTCCCATAGTAAACAATAAGCATGCTTTTACTAGTATGCTTTTCAAAAAAACGATAATAGCAGGGAAAAAACGACAGACTCACTGGGCTGGGCCTTGAAAAAAATGATTTCAGGAAAAAAAATTTCAGTCAGTTCGGTTTTAAACCGAACCTTACTGGCATAACCGAAACCGAACCGTCGTTGAGGCAGTTCGATCGGTTAACCGAACCGACTGTCTTCGGTTCCATGTGGCACTATTTTTTTCAGTTTTTGAGCAGTCGGTTTGTTGAACGGTGGCATTCGGTTTCACGGTTTTTTTTACAGTCCTATAAACTATTGTAATTTTTTGATTTGTTCCCTTACTAGTTGACAGAGTAACGCTACGCAAATAGAAGTTATTTATTTATTATTTTATTTTATGCTAATCCATTAATTTTTTTATAAAATTAGATAAAATAAGATAAATACAAAATAAGATATAAGCAACTAATCTACCAATATCTACCTATCTATCTACTTGTATAAAAGCGGTGATCCGCTTAGCCTATGCAAGTGACGTGTGCCGCTCGTTTGTTCCCGTTTTGTCGCCTTTTTTGTTGTTATTTTGGTAATTTCATTTTTTTTTAATTTTTGTTCTTAGGTCCTCAAATATTATTTTTATTATTATGTTTATTCTTTATTTATATTTCTTTTCAATTTTTGACCTTTTCTCAAGTATATTTTCAAATCAATGTTGTTAAATTTTTTTTTTTTTTTTTTTTTTTTGCAAATATGTCCTTACTCAAGTTATTTTCTTACAATCCTCTATAGATTTTATGTTACATATATTTAACTAATTGTTTGTCCTTTTTTACTCTAGTGAAACTAGTGCTGGAACTTTGGATGGGCCGCCTGCGACCGCCCGAAAATACTGAGTTTTTGCCCGAGCCCGAACCCGAGCCCGACCCGCCCGAAAAATTCGGGCCGCCCGCCTGAGCCCGAAAATTACCTTGAATGGGCCGCAGGCTTGTATTAGGCCGCCCGAGCCCGCCTGAGTAGCCCAAATTTTTGAAATTTTTTTAATATTAAGTTATTTTGTGTAAAATTTTGATATATATATATATATTACAATTTGAAATTTAAAATAAACACACGAACTATATAAAAAAATTATTTCTTTATTAGTTTTTAAATTTGTAATTCATGATTGCCTCGTTAAAAACCTTACAAAAAAAAAAAACCCAATTGGGAAAAAAACTTGGCAAGGAAAAAAGAGTGCAATCATTTTGTGACGAATTATAAATTTTACAAACTTACAAAGTTATACAATTACAAATACAATGTCAAAAGTAAATACATATTTACAAATTACAAATTTACAATTTAATTTGAAGCTGAAGGATCGTCTTTAAAATTAAATGTTAATCGATTAAATTCGTCGATCCATTCTTGGATTGCCGGCAAAATTGTATCCGGTAGACGTTGATTGTCCTGATCCCAATCCTTAATGCAGACTAAGGCTTCAACAATGTCCCTTTGCAAACTGTTGACTACTAAACCTTCACTGAGGTACGCCATAAGCTCGTTGAAGCTGCCGCCGCCGCCACTGTCACTTGTTGATGAAGATCCACTTCCACTCTGAGCTTCTGTTTGAGTTGTCTTCTTATTCTTCTTTAACCCGAAAACATTCAAGAATGAATGCGGGTTTTCATCTTGTTGTTGCGGTTCCTGTACTCTATAGTTTGTGCTTCTAAACCTAATATCATATTTACTATAGATGTCATATATTTTCGCCTTTATTATTGAAAATTAGTCCGTACAAGTAATGCCTAAAAATTCACCTAAGTTTTCTAAACCACTTTCTAATCCGTCTAATTTTAATCTAGGATCAAAATTTGTGCCTAAACCATATAACAAAGGCAACTTAGACCAATATTTTTTAAACTTCTTTTCCATAGAATGAATAAGAACTCCTAAGATTGGGTCCTCCCTATAATCGTTAAATAAAATACTAATTCTTAAAAGTTTTCCTAAAGCTAAAGGTGATGTTAGGTAGTATGTTCCACTAAATTTTAGAATAACTTCACGAAACCTACCTAAAAATTGTTACAAAACTTCGGCAATTTACCAATCAAATGCGTCTATATGTCCTACTCCTAATTTTGCACACATATAGTTTGTTATAGCATCCTTATAGGGGATGCATTGTTGAAGCATAATATAAATTAAGTTCCATCTTATAGGCATATCTAACGCTAATGCTCTAGGAGGTATATTTAATGTTTGTAAGAACCTAAACCAATCTTCTTGTCTTTGGTTATTATCTTGAATCCATGCAAGACTATCTCTAATTCTTTTAATGTGATTACCCATTTCTTTTAAACCGGATTTAACTATTAAATTGATTATGTGACATGCACCACGTTGGTGGAAAATAGTATCGTCACCGAATAGACTTAAATCATTTTCAAAGAATTCAATTACTTTTGTATTGGCACTAGCATTATCTAATGTTATAGCCATTATTTTATCTCTTAATCTAAATTCATCAATTACGTTTAAAATTGTGTTATTTATTAAATCCGCGCTATGTGATCCTAGAACACATTTAAAACATAATATTCTCTTATATAAATCAAATCCATTAAAGTAATGTCCGGTTACAAATAAATAATCTTTATTGGCAACGGCAGACTAAATATCTACCGTTAACGCAACGCACCCGCTAGTCGAGTGTAAAACGTTTATTAATGCTTCTTTTTCTTTTTTAAATAATTTTAATAAATCTTTCCTAAGAGTAGTTTTTGAAGTGAACTGTGCATTAGGATTATGTACAACCTTAATATATCGTTGCCAACTAGGATGCTTTACAAAACTAAGTGGTTGATCTAAAGCAACTATCATTCGCGCAACTTCCATACGATCTACTTGTGGATCGTATTTCCAAGTAGTTAGACCACCGATTGCGCGATCAAAAGACACTTTTTGGAGTTTAGGTCCGCCAGATTGGCTAAACTTTTGAAGACACTTTTCGGAGTGTCGTCTCAAGTGTGTGGTGCCATGAATAGTGTCACATTGTAATTTAGATAAACAATATTTACACTGAGATATATGTTTAGTGTTACCTTCATTGCCCATCTCGTCAAT